CCTGGCCGAGGTCCAGCCGACCCTCACGCGGCCGGCGTCGGTCACCTTTTTGGCGGCCGCCACCGGCACGCTCAGCCAGAGTGAGCCATCTCCCCTCGGGCCGACGGTGAGCCTGCCCGATCTAATAGCGTCGGCCGCGCAGCCCCCCTCTCTGGCCACAGACTCTACGACCTCGGCCGCGGTGACAGAGTCGTCGAGGCCGGTGATACGCACTTCGGCGCATTTCACCGGCCGGGCGACCCTGACCACCTCCGGGCCGAGCACCTCTCTGAGCCTAGCGGCCAGAGAGTCGGCCTTTTCCGGGGCTGCCTCGCCCCCCACCTCCAACATTCGGGCGCCCGTTGCCGCCCTGCGGAACTTGACATCGGCGATGCCAAGTTCCGCCAGGTTTATGCGGTTCCTCGCCTCAGCTAAGACCGCGGCGTACGTAGCGCCACTCTCCTCTGCCCCCGGAGCGAGAGTGAGCGTGACCGCCGCGGTCTTAGGGGCCCGCAGTTTGGTCTTCTTTTCGGGGAGGCGAGTATTTTCCGCCCCCATTGCCGCCTTCTTGGCTGCTTTCTTGGCCCCGCGTGACACTACCGTGGTCCACGGGGCTTCGGCAGGCGTAGGGGCAGGCCTGTCCCTCGCCTGTGCGGCCTCTTTGGCAGCCAGGCTCGGCTGCTTCTTCTTCTTTTTGCCCTTTTTCTTTTTGGGCGGAGCCTCGCCTGGGGCCGGCACCGAAGTAGACGCCCGATCCTGGGCCCCGCTGCCCGATGTTGTGGGCAGGGGCTCTTCAGCTGGTCCCTTCTTATTCTTCGCCCCCTTTTTCGCCTTAGGGGGCGAAGCGGGGGGACCGACGTCTTCCGCTCTCCTGTCCGCCGCCAGCGGGGGCCGGCGCCGCGGTTCGGGGAGGAGACGGTCCTCTAGACCTGCCAGCCTGGCGTTAAGTATGGTGCCAAACGTTTCTACGTTGGCACGCGATACTTCGTCCAGCATCCGCCGGATGTCCGCTTCGCCAGGCTGGGCAGGTCGACGCTTGTCGAGATCTTTTAACTCGCGCCGCATCTCCTCCATATCTCTTTGGAGGCGCGCGTTCGCTGCTTCCAGCCGCGCCAC